CCGGCGGCTCCAGCTGCAATGTCTGTCTGCCTGCCCCATGTCTGTCTGCGTCCGCAGGACGTAGCAGCTGCGGCTGTGCGGGTCTCTGACTGTCCTGGGGAAACCGAGGGAGAAGCAGGTGGGATGGACGGAAAAAAAAGGCTTTTACTGAAGCTGTCTTCTCACTGATTGCTGAGAGAATGCGGTGCATCGGGAACGCTTTGGTTTGAGCTGACTTAAGGCACCAGCGCCGCTTTTCCGAAGCGATGACTCAGGTAACATATATGTAATGTCCTTCAGAGTCGGGAGTGCTCAGCGCCAGGTTTCTGCATGCTTGGGCCCTTCAGAAGTTCAAGCTGAGTACATATGCCACGAGGGATGATGTAGGCACACACAGTCATCCCACCCACAGGACTGTATCTGTGCTTAAATTACTATTAAAACTAACAATTAAATGTTTAATCTCTTGGAGCTGGGGCAGGCAGAGAGGAAAAACAAAAACCCAACCGTGAAGTCAGGAGTTTTGCTCCACACAACCCTGCTAGGCCATTACCCTTTTCCTTCTTTTGTTCTTGAGAAAGCACCTAACAATAACAGCTGGGAGGATCTTGGTCTCTGGCTACAATTTTAGCATAGGCAGAGACATCTCTGGTAGTCCTGCTTTGGAACATTTTGTGGTGTTTAAATCTCTCGCTAAAATAATCTCAGATTCTTTAGTCAGATGAAGCTGTGCATGTATTGCCATTACGTACGGGTACAAATAACTGCTAGAAAGGAAGCCTATCAATCAAGAAAAAATAACGGAGGGGAGAAATTTTAGGGCTTGCTTTTTTAACTGCTGTCCATTTTGGAACAGCAGCCTGCTGAAACTTCAAGGCATTTCAGACACCAAGTAAATATTCAGTGATGATTTATTGTCTGGTCTTTATTATTATTACAAAAAAAGCAGATATCAAAAAACAGCAAAGAGTTCACAAGTTCCCCAACAGTTTTACACAACTGAACTGCAGTAAAATGGTGCATGTAAAACAGACGTATTTCAGTCCTGGCCCTAAACCTTCAATGGTGATCTGTGGGCTGTGGGATGCCCCGAGCTTTCCTAATTCTTTTTAAAGCGTTCCTCTGTATTTTGGAACCCGATTGACCCAGTAGCTAACATGCTGCGGCACAACGCAACAGGAATGTGAACTGTCTGGTATCCTTTAAGACCTGATAGACCTAGAAAACAAACTCCAAGAGCTCTGCAAGGATGGCGTGGATACCAGTACGCGTTTCCCAGATTACCCCAGGCAGCCCCTTTGTTGTGCTTGACAAGATCAAATCACTTTCAAGTTGCTGAAAGGTGATTTGCTGTGTGAAAGCTGCTTTTTCTTCTTCTCTTCAGGATCTTTGCTCCCCGAAAGAAAAAGAGTTCACTGCGCTGGGCTCCGGAATAAATGGACCATCAACCTTTTGAATTCTACCATCCAAACTGCATGACGGACAACGTCATCCCGTTGTGACTTTCCCGCTGCGGACTCAGCGTTTGACTGATCAGAAGGAACCTGAGCAGGCCGTGAGATGTGAGGTTAAGGGAAACACACAGCTCTCTGGAATGATTAACTGGGGTGGGAAGGGAGCCGTTGCTTTCTGTCTGATTGACGGCTGTAGGTTCAGAGGTTGACTCAGGGAAACATGGTCCAGTTACCTATATTGATAGCTGCCCCACTTCTCAAATATAGATCTTACATCAAAACACCGCTTGGCTAGCGAAA